GGAATGGGACCCACCCTGCCAAGGGGATATGAAGGAGTAGTGGCAGTGGGGGGTGGAAAGCAGGGAGAGAAAACCGAGAGGGTGAGCATGTCAAGGATTGATGAGTAGATGGCAGAGGCGACTCTGCCGTCTGGTGCCTGTCTGCACTTATCAGCACCGCAGCTCACGGCGAGTTCTGGCTAGAAATGGGACGGTAGCAGGGCGCTGCTGCCTGAGAGCAGCACTTAATGTGGGCTGTGCTGATGGATCAGCCAGAGGAAGAGCTAGCCCCATGCACTGCATCTTTGCCCCACTACCAGTCTCGCACACCCATCCCCATTGAAAACCACTGGCTCTCCTACACACACTCACCGCTGGCAAACGGGGATCTGGCCAGCAACAGTACCCACCAGTACTGATGGGGGAAGAGACAGAAAATTCAGGACACTTTGCCTGTTTTTAAGAAAAAGTCAGGACACCTGCAGGAGGACTTAAATACAGGATTTCCCCTTTAAAAATTGGCTGTCTGGTCACACTATCAGCTTGAAATTACAAAATGGGCAAGGATAAGGGTGGTTCTTTACGGGTTTGCTATTGGAACTTTAGCCGGCCATTTCCTAATTTCTCTAGTATCTACGTTTTTGGGTACTGCATGAATCGGTAGAGTTTTATTAAAGGGGTTTTATTTTATCAACCCTGATTGTGCATTAACAGATTTTTTTGATGGTTTGACTATGTCAATCTTTAGGCCTCTTTTGTTTAACTGCACACAAAATTGGTGCATTTATAAAGTCCAAACGTGCGTAACTGACAGCTGGGGATAGTGAAGCCCTATATCCTGCAAACAATTAGGTACAGATAGTGGCATTGTTTTCTTCTCCACAGTGGCTCACAAAGGTGCCTCAACATTCTTCTGGCCAGATTACTTCTGGGTCCAACTGAATAATTCAGTTTTTATTTCAATCCAGTTGCAGTCTCTTCTGAGACTTTCTACTACCAATTAGCGCCAAGTGTGCTAGCAAGTCAACTGTTAGAAACCAAATCGTAATTATATAAATGCCTAACATTTTGGTATCCATATTCAGAGAAATGGCTTTCTAAATAATGTAGCCCTTAAATTGCGTTTTTCCTTAATACCCAAAGTTGCAAAAAAATCCACTTTACAAAACAAACTGATGTAAACTTTAAAAGTATTGGGATCCCCCACCCGCCTTCCCTTACACGAAACTGAAACTCCGGCCGGCCGACTTTTTAGATCTAAATTATCCGTTGTGGAGAACAGGGCTTTATCAAGGGAAATTCTGACTGGCCCAGAATATAATCGCCTATTTGTTTTTTTCATGTATTTCATTTTGAATATAGTCACTCCACTGTATTTCATGAACTTTTCATGTGAAAATCTCCGGAGGGAGAAGCCGGGGAAAGTCAAATTGGGGAGCCAAACGGGCCAGTGCGAAACCCTTTCACGTCTTATAGTTTAGTTTTCAGCACAGAGGACAATGTTCCCAGGCTCCGGGTCCCGGGCTGTCCCGATGCGGGCGCTCTGCGCGGGAGTTTCACAGAATGCAACTCGCTGCGTGCCCGAGGGCTCGGCAGCCCCAGTGGCCGCCCCGAGCGCGCTGC